ATATTTTAGTCTATCAAATAAACAATGAAATAATGTAATCAACCATCCTCAGCATTATATAGAAAAACTTTGATAAATATTAATTAGAAGTTACCAAACTGGATGAATATCGCCACCAAGTGGCCTGATGTGTCTCAGACATATTACTAAAACACCCTGGAGAAGCTCATTACCATTACTTATGACCTTGAGGGAGGACAGGACTTTGTCTAACCAGMCAATATTATTTTCTGTTTGGAGAAGCAAACAAAAATCTATACATAGATCTATACATGTTTTACTTTACTGGTGCAAAATGCAATGCACAACCCTTAAGGCATGCTACTACTACTATTTCTATTTCTAAATGCACTGCCACTGAGAGATTCATCAAAAGTGAGTATGGCTGTTTGAAAGAGAAACAAGTGACACAATTGTTTCTCATTATTAAACTCTCCAAACTGTGGTTAGTTAAAGAACTATCTGCAACAGGTAAGATATTATTTGTATGTAACCTTTCCACAGAACCCTACTTCAAATAGATCTATACCATTGTTTTTAATGTTCTTCAGATTTCTAATAAGTTGATAAGAATTTAAGAGAATCGAAGATTGACTTTATAACTGGCATGCGTGGCCCTTTCAGTGGCACCAACAAATAACCTACAATAGAAGAAATCAGTCCCATTCATGCATGAATAACTGTCTGCACCTCCAATCATTTTATTAAGCCGCAATTACCCTAATTGCATGTGAATTGATTTGATAAGATGCAGCTGTCTGCTGTTCAGCAATAAATTTTCCTGAGTGACCTTCATGGCCAGAAAAAAAATGGGGCTTGTAATAATCCTGATTAATAGCTGTGATTGTAAAAGCTGGCAAATATTCAAGCTGCAGTAAAGTGTGATGAGAGGATAAAAAAAGTTTTACCTGCACAGAAGATGCGGAGCTGCTGCYTGGGTGATATAAGGTTCAGATGAGTGGTAAAAAGGTCCACAAATGCACCTGGATACAACACGAACACAAAGATCCCAAAACCATTTACTCGCACTTGCTCCCTGTGGAATAAAGAAACATTTTACACTTTCAGAGACGTCAAATTGTTACATACACACATAAGTCTTAAAAAATAATAATAATAACATCAAACTGAAAAAATGCAAGGTATAGATAGTGTTTAAACAAAACTATCAACAATATTTTATGTTGATTTGGCAATAATTCAAAATGATTGATTTGAAGTCATTTAAATTGTACATCCAAGATGAGAAAAATGTTATTTTTTTTCTATTACATGTAATAAATGTTATAAGTCTTTATATATGTAGAAGGGCGGCTGTGTATTACCTCAATGCTGCCACAGCGTGGCCCAGCTCGTGTATTACTCCACTGAGCAGCAGAGCAARGAAGAAGTAGGCCAGCTGACTGGTGGGCAGATTGACACCTGGGACCTAAAAACACACGAGAAGCCAAAAAATAAATAAAAAAATAAAAATTAAAAAGTAACATAATTCTGATGAAAAACATTCTTACATAACGTTTTATAATTTTGTTTGACATTTGACTGAAGTATGGTGTTTTATCTTCCACTGCATATTTTAGAATAAAACATGTTTAATTGTTATATTTAAACCTTTCTTTTGACTGACTTCTTCACAAAAAATACATTTCATATTTTTACTAGGAGTTTTTCTCTGTTCTCTCCCACTCTAAAATTAGATGGCTATAAATAACGTGTTCCCATGAATCACCTGTTCACTAGGTAGGGTGCTCACATTAATATCCTGAAAATTAACAAAAAAGGAAATAGACCTTTTAATAATTTACAGCTCTTTAGTTAATAAATTTTAGCTAACAGATAAACGAAGCAGAGACTCAAACCCACGCGTTTAACAGAACTAATGTTATTTCACCACATCGAAGTTATTGTAAAAACACTTAAATCTACGTACCACCACCTGCAGAGCCTGCTGACCGCCTATCCGAGGGTTGTCTGTGGTCATCTGAGCGTACGTCTGTTGCAGGGTCTTTATCAGCAGAATCACTGATCCCACCATGGCTGCGATACCAAACACAAGACCGCTGTTGAACCTTAGCAACAGAAAAATGACAAATTATTTCAAGTCACTTAGGTGGAACTGTTGAACCTACGGATATAAACATTTATATGAAATAACAGACTTGATTATTTGCCATTTTGACACACTTCAGAGGGTTGTCAACTAAAAGAAGCAGAAGTTTGAAAATATTAACGAGAAAATTTTCAGAAGTGATGCAGTTGGTTTATAAATATCAGTGTGTGAGCGAGGGATTCTCACCACATGTAGAGGACTCGGGGGTTGATGCGGGCACAGTAGGCAAACAGTCGGTTGAACATCGTGGTCTGCCATCTCATGTGGAAAGGAGACACCATCAGCCCTCGACTGGCGAGCCATGACTCATAGCTGATCCTGTGTGTGACGGAGGACTGCAGAAAAAAAAGACCATTGCATGAAAACTGATGATAGCTACAGAAATAAACATTTTTATTTGCCCTTCTGTTGTTGGGTTGTATCCCATTAGATTGATATGCATGTAGGAGTACACTTGGAAGCATTGTTGCTACAGTGTTTTAATACACAAAATAAAAAAAACACTTGTATCTAGGGCTGCACAATATATCGCAAATGTATTATCGCAGTAATAGACTGTGCTATAGACATATCGCAAACGAACTGTAAATTGCAATAAATGGTTGGCTCTAATGTTTGCATTAATGTGTTTTGTCAGCATCAGTTTGATCATCAAAATGGACCCGAGAAACTACATCAAATGATAACCAATTGGTCATGTTCTCCTCGTTCTCCAGTTTGCAACTGGAACATGATCCAGTTGACAACATTGACACATCTCAGTTCTAAGAAATGGAACAAGGCTTTGCTTCAGTAAAACTAGACTGCCTGCCGATCAGTCCAGCTATTCAAATCAGGATTTGCATCCTATTTATTTATAATAGTGATTTCAATAGAAAAATAATCAAATAAACCATTTATTTAAAAGGTTTACATACTGTCGACCACCTTTTATACCAGGGTTAAAAATCATTTTATGACAGCATTTGGCCATAACATGAAAATGAAGATCATGCAATCTGTTACTGCCGAGTAGGTGTAGTGAATGACTTTCAGCTGCAAGATTGGCATTTTTGTGTTTGCTAAGGTTGACGATCAAATGAGTCAAATCTGCTACAAAGCAGAGTTTTGTTTATTTGTAAGAAACTACGCAGCCAGGTTTTGTCTCAGAGCACGTGCACCAAAACCTAAATATTTATAAGCTATATTAGCTTTCCTCTTCCTGTATTTGTTATAGACACATTTCACCATTATGTTTCTGAAACACCACGGCTTAAGGTTCATTTAAATGCGAACATAAACACAGGCAGCTAGCTGAAGCTGATGTAGCTCGTTAGCACGAGCGACAAAAAAAAAAAAAAACGGCCTATTTCTCCCTTTCTCGTGTTAGCTTAAGGGTGGATAGATTAAACACCAGGAAGTTACATGTTTACCTTGAGCAGTGTGTCAGCCAAATAGACAGCACACCAGCCAGCCACCACACACACCAGCAGGGACACGGGGATCATGATGGTGAGGCTGTCAGAAGACTCGCCGCGGAACCATCGAACCGAACAACGCCTTCATCGCTCCCTCCGCCACGCAGCTTGCCGTAATCAAACGTGTTTAAAACTGCGCAGAAATGTCGACATGTTTTTGTTGCTGTTATTTAATGAGAAGCACAAAGAAGACACACTGATGGGTTTGGTTTCAGAGACAAAATCCACCGGTCCTCCTCTGCTTCTTTTTCTTCTTCTCTTTTGTATTTAGCAACCAAACAGAACACTACTGCCATCAAGTGGCGAACTACATGTCGCACTACTTTARGATTGTAAACAAAACAAACATAAATAAATAAACAGCGTTCAATAAAATGTTGGAATAAAGTAAAATTAGTAAATGCTTTCTATAACCTAAGTTTTAATTCCCCATTTGATATTTTTTTCTTATGTATTATTTTGTGTGGGACAAAAACAATTGTTTCACCTCAAAAGAGTTATTGATTCATGACTTAAAGAAAGAACCGATGCAATAATCCCAAAAGCAGAGACTGGATTTTATAACCTAACTAATTCTCTATTTTGTCTGGATTACAGCTGTAAATTTGAAAACATGTTTAAATATTGAATTTCAACCTATTAAAAGGTCAGGAGAGTAAAAAACTGTCATCTTACCAAGTTTTAAAATCTTATATCCAGCCAAAAAGTCTTTTTATCTTGTTTTGAGACTGATTTACTAA